GTTTCCTGTCAGTCTTTCTTTTAAGAAGTATCTTCTGTTCTTCTAGCTGCTCCAGGCTGGTCTGCTTATCCTTTCAAGTGGGAATTTTCCACCTCAGAAGATTCTGAATGAGGTTCAGGATTCTAATAGTGAAAATATTTTAAGCAATTAAAATAAATGCCTTGTCACAGGCCAGGCTCAGTCCATGTCACAAACATTGTGAACATATAACTTTAATATTCTTTCTATACATGCTGTATTATAAGTAATCAGTGTGTCAGAAAACTATGTGAACCTGTTATCAGTTCCTCTTGCCAGCAAATGCAAGGTAGGTCTTGGGTTGAAATTTTGTTAAGACCTTATCTGTGTCCTACAATTAGTTTTTTTTTTACGTATATTGAAACACTGTTCTTCTTGAATCCTTATAAGAGAAAATATGTAGAACAAAATTTCAAATTCTCATGGAATCCAGATTTTCTGGAGACACGAAGGCGAGATAAACTCCTGAAACTATTGTCCTGAGATTATCTTTAAACTTTAAACCAAAAATTTCCCCTTAGGTCTTCTTAAAACCAAACAACACATTAACTTAACTAACAAAAAATATCTGCCTTTTTATTATTGCGCTCTTTTAAGATCTATGTATATGAGATCAAACTGGCAGCAGCAACTGCAAAGATTAGATAGGAAAGTTAGGGGGGAGTGAGTTTACATTAGGAGAGGAGCAACTCAGAAAAGGAGGCCGAGAATGGTTTCATAACTGGAACAATATAAACAAAATCACTAAATGGTACATGTAGAAAGTGTTGAATTGGTGTATGTTCTGCCTTGTATATTCTCAACAAAAATAAAATAAATTCTTTTAAAAAGAGATTGTTCTTCACCGAGGAGCCATCAAGGCAAGCAATCAAGTCCCTGCAGTACAAACCCCCTCCAAGACTGAAACGCAAAGGGAAGACATGAGCAGGCATACAAGGTTGCTGGTGAGTGGCAGAAGGGGAAAGGCAGCAATGAAGAAATGGGCTAAGTTCGACCACATTCCATAGACTCCCATAGACCTGGAGATGAGAGAGAGAAGAGGAAGGGCTGGGTGATCCAAAGTGTGGTGAGACCTTGGGACTCCTGAGCCCATGGACAAGGACATAGCCATGGAGGGCTAGAGCTGAGAGTGAAGCATCCAGCTGATATGAACTGAGGGGAAATGTACAAGAACACCCAAACTTGTAGATAATACCCCTTTGACCTTAGCCTTGATGGCTTGATGATCAGAACTCAACTACAGGAAGATAAAAAAACAGTTTTTGATAAAGGAAACAAGTATAAATTGCTACAATTTGATGAACTTGACCTATACTTATGGATGTTATAGCTCAAAATACCAACTGAGAGGGAAGGAGTCTCTACATCAAGTATCAACCTATCCACTCTGTATACAGAGTTGATAGGGATGGGCAACTTAGACATCGGCTGCCTAAAATGAGGGGACAATAAAGACATGAAGTGACTGGCTTACAAGTTTGCAAAAGGGAGTTTCGTTTAAGAGTGTGTGGGGGTAGATAGAGTCCCCACTGAGTAGTTTTCATCAGGATGAGTTTGGTGAAAGGAAATGGGGATAAGATTCTTATGATTCAATAGTCAATAATTGTTATCATGACTAATTGCGGCTGTCACATCTGTAAAGGTAGAAGTTTTGTAACAAAAAAAGGGGAATAGTTATTCTTACAGTGCAGGAGCAGAGGACCCTAGGATCATCAAGGGAGAAGAGCATGAGCGGAATGTGGGACCCTATCCAGAGAGGCAGCGACACTAGTGATGGAGGCAGAGATGAAGACTGAAGAGAGAGAGCAGCCAAGAACTCTAGACTCATGGAAAGAGAAAGGCTGTGTGCTGACAGCCAAGAGGCAGCCTTACAGAATGTGCCCTTTGGTTGTTTAAATGATTATATATTCCTAAGTGTTTTGTGTACATCTCCCACCCAACACCCCCCCAAAAAAAAAAAAAATACCAGAGGGAATAGAAGCAAATACTGTTGAATGATGATGCACAGAGATTGTAATCATTGCAATGAAAAGATGAGTGTAAAACTGATGTTCTCCCATGTAAACTGTCACTCAATTGACAATAAAAACTTTTAAAAAGAATAAATATGAATAATCACTCGCACTGTTAAAAAAAAAGAGAGAGATTGTTCTTTATTTCTTTTTAATACATTTTATAAATCTCATCAACTATAAATTACAGGAATAACTCAGCAATTTGGGGCTTTGGTTCCAGACCACTACAATAAAGCTAGTCACATGGATATTTTGGTTTCTCAGTCCATATAAAAGTGATGTTTAAACTATCCTGTAATCTACTAAGTATGCCATAGCATGATGAAAAGGTTTGAAATAGTGTGAGAATGACCACCCTGTGGCTCACAGACACAAAGTGAGCACATGGTGTTAGAAAAATGGCACCAGCAGACTTGCTCAAAACTAGGTTGCCACAAATTTTCCATTTGTGAAACATGTATATGTGCTAAGTGCAATAAAATGAGGTCTGCCTGTATATCACTGCAAGGTTAGTGTCTTTTACCTTTCTCTGCTCAGTATAGCTTATACTGTATTAAAATCTCCCACTATGATTGTAGATTTGTCTGTTTCTTTCTTCAATTCTAGCAGGATTTGCTTTATACATCATGGGGCTCTTTCACTGGGAGCATAGATATTTATTATGGTTATGTCATGTTGTTCAGTTGACCCTTTAATCCTGAGATAGTGTCCTTCTTTACCTCTTATGCCTTAAAGTTTATTGTATCAGAGATTAGTATTGCTACTCCTGCTCTTTTTTTTGTTTTGTTTTTTGTTTTGAAATTAGCTTAGTATATTTTTTTCCATCCTTTAACTTAGTATAGATTATTCTGATAGGTGGACCCTAGGCTCTTTACTACAGTGATGTTTAATTTTCTCTTTTCTTCCTTATGTTTTTATTTATCGCTGGGTGGTGCAAACAGTTAACATACTCAGCTAGAAATCTAAGTGAAAGGTCAGAGATTTGAGTCCATCCAGAGGCATCTCGGAAGAAAAGCTTGGTATTCTACTTGTGAAAAATCAGCCACTGAAAGCTTGATGTAGCACAGTTCTACTCTGACACACATGGGGTAGCTGTGAATTAGAATCTGCGACAACTTTTTTGTTTGTTTGTTTTTTTTCACTATGTGCAAGGCACTGGGATACAATGATAAACATGACAGATCTCATCTCTGTCAATGAGAAAAGGGTGTTACCTGTGGAACTACAGTGACGTGGGATGGAGATAATGATAGAAAAGGGAAGAAGGAATCCAGCCTGGTAAGGGTATCAGGAAGGAACCCTGAGATTGTCAGAATAATTCGTCATGTTAGGGGGTTCCTGAACCAAGGAAAAGCTTGTATAAATATATGAAGGGACTTCAAAACCCCATTGCCTTTTGATTCTATTTTTCCATGAACTTTTTGAAGCCCCCTTGTATAAACCCAGGGACATTGTAGTTTTTATTGTGCCTTTGATACATGCTAAATGATTGTGCTTCCTCTTGTATTCATTCCACATAGTTTGTTGAGTGCTACTTAAAAGTGTGAAGTACAATGTCATTGACTTGGGTGTACAGAGATAGGCTAAGCGAGAGTTCCCTAAAGAGGCTGGAGTCCTCCCCAGGATCTAGCACAGGACCTACATTGTGCCTGCCATAAATATTTAGGGAAAGAATGAGTGAGCCCAAGATTGAAATAAAACGTATACATAGTTAAAAGAATGAAGTAGAATGGCCATGCACAGAGTAGCCCAAAGAGTCTGCATTTGTCACACCAGGAGCATCAGGGGCCCATTAGCATGAGCCTGAAGGGCCTGAGGACCTGGGTATGAAATTTAATCTATGATGCAAGACCATTCTAGGGCCCACAGTTTTTTGGTGTTTTTTTTTTAATGTTCAAACACATTTATTTCCTCAGTAACTTTGTGGTTGCTGTAACAGGGGATCATTTAGACAAAAAAAAAAAAAAAAATCAAGATTAATGAAAAATTGTAGTATACATGTACTTATCTCTAAAAAAATCTTATTTACAAGTTGAGGAACCAAGGTGTGCTTTTCGTTAATGTATGGGCTTTAGAACAACATTGTGTAACATTATCCTAATAAAGATGGATTTCCTAATAGCTCAAGTAGCCAATGAAATATTCAGAAATATCATTTTCTTTTTTTCTTCAATCATGTTCAGAAAATCTAATGTGCTTACTTGCATGCTGAGTCTTTGCCAGTCGAATCTTTTCAGCTTTGGTGACTAACTTTTTAGGGCCTCTTTTCTCTTCTCGAGGCTGATTCAGTTTGGCTGTCTGTCTACCAAAATCTTCTGCAAGGACCTCGAGTTTCCAGTTGTGTTGCTTTTGAATTTCTGGGCCTGCTGCATCTGTCACTGCTTGAGCAGCTTCGGGAGTCTTAAATCTTGCACGGCATTCTGTAGCTCCTTCTAGCAAGTCAACATAGACAACTTCTGAGATCGCTGCCAAAGTATCCTTCAAATCTGCATTTTTGTTGTTGTTAAAGTGCCCTCAAGTTGGTTCTGACTCACAGTGACCTTTCATAAGATTTCTGAGATGCAGCTAGTGAGTTTGAACCATTGACTTTGCAGTTAGCAGTACAGTGCTTATCCTACACCACCATACCAGGACTCCAAAATCTGCATTAGCGTAAGTATTCCATTATAGAGCAGAGTGTACAAATACTGTGCAGTCTCACTCTTCCCTGCAAAAGAGTTCCAAGTATTGTGGTATCAAACAAGGAAAAATGTTTTAAAAAACTGGAAAAGGTAGGTGTGTTCTTGTGGTTGTTATTTGCTGTCAAGTTAATTCTGACTCATGGCAGCCCCATGTGTTAGGGCCCACAGTCTTAGAGAGCTGTAGTTCAAGAACACTAGGGGAAGTGGGGAGAGATAGGAACATCATGGAGGAAAGGAATGTTGCCATGGTAACCCCACCTGTGCCTTCCTACAGCTCCCCCAGTTCTTCATGGGCGGCCACCTGTCCCCATGGCCCATATACGCCAGTGGCCAGGCCATTCTGTTTAACCGAAAGCCCTGTTCAGAGGGCTACCGGAAGCGAGCAAGGTAAGCCAGGGCCAGCCTGATGGTGGGCGGGGCATCAGGCTGGGAGACATGGCAGGGGTGTAGGCAGCACTGAACCCAGAGAGCAAGGACCCTGCAGGGTGCTCATCTGAGCACAGCATACTCCCTGCAGTAGCTCGGAGAAGCAGTCCTTGGGCATTGCCAAGCCAAGGTACCTGGAGCAGCTGGAAAACTACCTGCGCAAGGAGCTCCTCCTATTGGACCTGGGCACGGATTCAGCCCAGGAGTTGAGGCTGCAGGTCAGAAATAAACCATGGCAAGGTTGGGGAGGGGTGGAAGGAGACCTCACTTGCCAGGACTAGACATTCCAGACCCTTCAGAGAGATCAGCCTCTCCCAACACTTTTGGGATCTCCTTCCCAGAAAAAGAAGAAGAATGTCCTGGGATTAAGTTAGTGAGCAGGAACAAAAACTCTCCTGAGGCTTGTTGCCCCACCTGAGTCAAGTAGACTGAATGCTGTCTCCAGTCTATCCAGCTCTCTATCCGGAGCCCCCCAGCAGCCTGAACACTGGCATTTGGGCAAGCCCAGAGTGTGCACCTTCCCTGCTGAAGACAGCCCCAAGCTCAAGGAGCCTATCCAGACATATAGAGACAGAAAGAAATCTCGATCCCGCCTCAGTTCTGGTACATATTAGGGAGGGAATCACCAAAATTCATTGCTCCAACAGGGACAACCACGACAGGGACTCTCTAACTTCTGACTTACTCACTGACTGAAGCATTTGTTGACAACTGACTATATGCCAGGTGCTGGGCTGGGGCTTTACATGATCTGACAAGCAGAAGGTACCTCTCCAATTAGGAAGTAAAAGCTTGGAAAAGGCCTATAGCTATGAAGTAGTGGGTCTGGGATTCAGACTTGGGTCTGATTCCCAAACCTGTGCTTATCCCAGTCAGCAGTGCTGTCTCTAAATGCTTCCCATAGGTCCAACAGGACCGGAAGCCATACTCCTACTTGGTGATTAGATACTATGTTAGAACCTTCCATCTCCTCTGCCCCCACAGGACTCTAAGATGGGAGGTGTACAGGTTAGAGGCCAATTGAGGCATAGGGCCTGGAAGACAGGCTGGCTGCTTAGTGAAGGGCTAGGGCACAGAAGGAGAAGTCCTGGGCCAGGGTGATTTACCAGGCCTCCGAGACAGCATCCAGAGAAGACTCCAGAGAGCAGCCAAGAGGCCAGAGCTGCCCCACACTCCCTGGTACTGCGAGAGACCAGAGTGGAGCTCAAGGCATTTACCTGAATGTGGGCCACCTGACGGCCTCTGCTGGGCTATTTCTAGGTCAAATAAAGGAAGATACAAGGACCTACTAAGAGTAGCAGCTATGGGTCAGAAGGTGACAGGTTTCCTTTCCTTGCCAGCCTTACAGAGAGATCTTTGAGTTCTTCATAGAGGACTTCAAAACGTACAAGCCATTGCTGTCCTCCATTAAGAATGCGTATGAAGTGATGCTGGGTAAGATGGTAACTCCCCGACTTCAGCTTTCCCACCTGAGTCAGATGGAGTGGATGCTGTCTCCAATCTGGAAGGGACAGAGAGAATCCTGTTCTTTCCCTCTGTGGCTACGAAATAGGGCTGGGGTAGGTACTTACTAACTAGACCTTGAGGTTCCCAAGCTCCACTCAGCAATTTGCTTACACTACTCTGTGAGAGAGCACTCCAGGACAGGGACCACCTCCCACCTCCCTTGGGAAGCAGAAGGGGAAGTATCTCTAGGAACTAGAGGGACTTTCATGTTGAGGCTGAATCCCAGGAGAGTGACTTGCTCTGGGAAGTGAGGAGGCCAGGTTCCAGAGATGCAGGACATGGTAAGACTGAAGGACTAAAGGCTGTTGGGGAAAAAGGCATGGGAAAAGACCTCATCTGGAGACAGCCCATAAGTTTTTTTTCTTAAACTTTTTATGGCAGAAAGGCTATTAGCAGGGGCCATGGCTTCAAAGTATGCAATCAAAGTATACAAAGACTCCTAGAGTTGGAAAAGGACATGGTCACCCATGATCTTAGGATCTGTGTTTCCTAGTCATTTGTTCTTTATGGCCCAAAAGGACCCTCTTACTGCTCCTACTTAGCCCAACAGAGGGAGACGATTCGAGCCCTAGAGCCCCTAAAGGCCAAGCTCGTCACTGTGAATGAGGACTGTAACGAGAGGATCCTGGCCATGCGGGCTGAAGAGAGATATGAAATTTCCATGCTCAAGAAGGAGAAGATGAATTTGCTAAAACTCATTGACAAGAAGAATGAGGAGAAGATCTCATTGCAAAGCGAGGTGAATAGGGTGCCAATAAACAACTCCCTGAATTCCTGCTCTACCCCTACCCCAGAGGTCACCTTGAGGTCTTGGACACTGAAGTTGACCCCTTAATTCCCTCTTCCTTTCTGCCTAGAGTGACATTCTAGGCCATACCCACCTCAAAGGTTCCACCATCACATTCTACCCTTCTGCTTGCCTGGAAACTAGCTGCATGTGACCCTGAGTGCCGGGAGAGTCATGCTTCTTGGCTTCCAGGCTTTCTGGAAGATTAGCACTTTTCTGGATTCTCAGGGATGGCCAAACTTTTCTCCATCTCTCCTGTTTCTAAGCCCTGATAGGGCCACCCAGCATCCATCGCATTCCCCTGTAGTAACTAGCTGCCTACAAGGGTCCAGAGACAGCCCCTGATCACAATCACCTTTCCACAGGTGACCAAACTGAGGAAGAACTTGGCTGAGGAATATCTGCACTACCTTAGTGAACGAGATGCCCGCAAGATCCTCCTTGCAGACCTGAATGAGCTACGCTATCAGCGAGAGGACATGTCACTAGCCCAGTCTCCAGGTCAGCCCGAGGTGGACTTCTCCCCCAAGGCAATGCTGGAGAGGAATCCAACTGTCTCCCAACTCATTCTCATTTATTCAGTTCTAATAGCTGTCCATCCCATGTCCATTCATAATGGGGCTATGGGTCTTCTGACTGGACTGAGAATCCTCAGTAGAAATACTGTTGGCAGCTGAGGTAGCCTAGACTTCCTGTGTAGTGGACAGGTATGGTACCCTAGGTTCTGAAGCCCCAGGGTGGTAGCACTGTAGACAAGACCCATGGGGCTCCAGACAGAGAGAGCAGGAGGACATCTGGGGCACATGTTGGGGAACACTCTAGCCCTGTCCGGGATGTAGGGTGACATAGGCTGGTGGGCCCCTTGACAGGGATCTGGGGGGAGGACCCCGTGAAGTTAACAGTGGCTCTGAAGATGACCCGGCAAGACCTGACACGCATGCAGATGGAGCTTAATACTATGAAGGCCAATTTTGGAGATGTGGTACCCAGGAGGGACTTTGAAATGCAGGAGAAGACCAACAAGGATCTACAGGAGCAGGTGCTGGTGGGCAGGCAGGGTAGGGTAGGTTGGTAGCAAGGTAGGGTGGCCAGGTTGGTAGCAAAGACCAATCACCTTGCCCACAGCTGGACAGCCTGAAAGCTGACTATGATGAAGTTCGCAAAGAGCATGAGATACTGCTGCAGCTGCACATGAGCACAGTGAAGGAGCGAGACCAATTCTCTGCTGAGCTCCAGGAGATTCAGCGTACCTCTACACCACGGCCCGACTGGACTAAGTGCAATGGTAATGATGGTTGGTGGGGCCCCAGGGACTGCCCCGTTGCCTCATTTGGATTCCAGCTTCCTCTCCACACCTGCAGATGTGGTGGCTGGGGGTGCAGAGCGCTGGCAAATGCTGGCTGAGGGCAAGAATAGTGACCAGCTGGTGGATGTGCTCCTGGAGGAGATTGGTGCGGGGCTTCTTCGGGAGAAAGACTTCTTCCCTGGTCTGGTAAGAGAGTCTCTGGGCTGCGAAAGCTTGAGGTCAGAATGAGCAAGGCCTTGCTGCTAAGGCTTGGAGTTCTGAAGGAACCATGTGGGGCCCTGACTGCTGGGGAATGGGACCACAGATGGGCTCAGAGACTAGCTGACACTCTCCCTTTCAGGGTTATGGGGAAAGCATCCCCCCTTTCCTTCGGTTCGATGGCACTGTGGAGAACAAGAAGCCAACGAAGAAGGAGGTGGTGAACCTCCTCAAAGATGCTTGGAAGGAACGTCTTGCTGAGGAGCAGGTCAGGCCTCACTAGGCCCTTTGGCCTATCTTGGCCACCAGACTCTTCTGGGGAGTACCCTCTAGGTGCTAGGGAGCAGTAAGGAGGGCCAATCAGCCCTGAAACAGGCAAACCAAACAGTCTTCCCTTCACTGTACAGAAAGAGAAGTTCTCAGATTTCTTCTTCAATTTCCTGGAACGTCGCTTTGGGCCTAGTGAAGCTATGGCCTGGGCCTACACTATTTTTGAAAACATCAAGTTCTTCCACTCCAATGATGTCATGAGTCAATTTTATGCAGTCTTAATGGGAAAGGTGAGCTTGGACCTGGGCTCCCAGCTACTTCTGTCAGGAAGCCTAAGAGGGGCCTTCATCCCCAGCATAGCACAGCTCTGTGGCCCCCTGTCTAGGAAGCAGCCCATTAGTGAAGGCTTTCCTCCCTGTAGATGAAGGAGAGTGTGTACATCTATCAGAAGGAGACAATAGCACAACTGCTGAAGGAGATGACGAGTGCCGATAGTCAGAAGGAGGGATTCCTGTCCATGGAGCATTTCAGGTGAGAGCAGGTCACCCGACATGATGTGTGAGGGAAAGGAGCCTGGTGGGAAGGACCACAGACTTAGCACTTAATGTCTGGAGCGCTGGCAGGACTAGCAGTGGAGGGAGTAGTGCGCAGGCATGCCTCAACCAGGTCCATTGGGCTTCATGTACTTTCACAGCTCCATCCTCCGAAGTATCTTCCCCCTCAAGAAGGAAGAGCAAATTCAGGAGCTGATGGAGGCAGGGGGCTGGCACTCAAGCAGCAGCAATGCAGACCTGTTCAACTACCACTCACTGTTTATGGAGGTGGGTAGGTGGGTAGGTCCAGAAACGAGTGGCCCCAAGCCTTAGCCTCAGCCAGACCCTGACCAGTATGCCCTCACTCTACCTTATGGCTCCTTCTAGGATGATGAGGGCCAGAGTGAGCCCTTTGTTCGGAAGGTATGGGAACAATATGTGGATGAGAAGGAAGCGTATTTGCAAGAACTAAAGCAGGAGCTGGGCCAGGAACTGTGAGTTACCCTGGGGTTCTCAGGCCCACTCAGCTGCAGGCAAGGTCACATCCCTGGGTCTCCCTGTGCACTGTGCAAGCAGCTGAGCACTATAAGCTCAGCAGAACAGACACTCAAGGGCCTGGGAGTACAGAAGAGGTCAAGGTCGGTTTCTCTTTCCTTGTGGGGCAGTTATGAGATAACCCCAGGCAAGCTGCAGAAAGCGCTGATGAACATCGACCCCAGTCTGGACACTCAGACCCTGAACACCTATATGAGCCAGGCCTTCCAGGTCCCAGTAACAGACCTCCCAGAGGAGGGCAATGAGGAGAAGGAAGAGGGCCTTAAGACACATCTTCAGATTGTTATGGACCGGCTTCAGGTGGCTGACATCAGGCGTGTGGGGCCTCGAGGTGAGCTGGAGCTTGCAAGCTAGGACCACTAGGACTGGTCTCAACACTACAGCTCTGCTAGTCAATTTGATGCAGTATAAAATTGTTACTTGTTGGAATCTTTGCTATTTTCCTGACTCTGCTGGGTAGTGGCAAGTGGCAGGGGCAGAGACGAAGCTGCAAAACACAGCAGATTCTGTTTGTGACACTTTATTGAGGCTGAGGACATATGGGTGAGGGAGGAAGGAGATCTGGAGGAGTATATGGGGTCAAGAGATCCCAGGCATGAGCCAGGCCAGTGTTGAGGCCTGGCCTCTACTGGGTGGGGAATACAGAGTTACCACTGAAGGCACATGGGATGAGCAGCTGTCTGTACTCCAGGGGCAGGTACCGCTCCACAAGCACATGCAGTGAGACCTGGTCGGTGACTAGGCCCTGCCTGCAGCAAATAGGGGAAAGAATTGACAGAATCAGAACCAGCACTTTGTGCAGTGGGGCTGCCCTGCCAACCCAGCATTGCCCTACCCACTCACCGCCGCATCAGTAGCTCTAGGTCTTCTGGCCTCACTGTCTTGCGGCCTGCATGGGCCGCAAATACCTCCAGATCACTGTAGAGATGCTGGAAATACTTGTCCAGGCTGCCAACAAGGTAGGGGGGTGGGAACAGATTAAATGGCCTGTTGGAGATCTGAGGGGCTCTACCCAACCCTAAGTGTCAAGGACTCACCACTTCTCCACCATTTCAAGAGCCTCCTTCTCCATAGGCATTTTAGCAAAGAAGCTGAAGAGTTTTGTATAGTGGCTTAGTCCAGCCTTGTAGGGATCTTGACGGGGCCTGGGGCCAGTAGTTCGGGGTCTTGGGGGAACACTAGCTGATGGAGGCACCAGAGGCTCTGAACACAATCTGCAGGCAGGAGTGGTCAGAGGTGGCTTAACTGCTGTCTAAAGAGGTCCCTATTTAAGGGTAAGACATACTGACTGCCATTGAGACTGGGGCCCATGGACTTGTTGGCTGGCCTAGCCCAGCAGCTAACTGGGGATGGTGGAGATAGGAGCTCACAGAGGCCTGGTCCTTCCCTAGAGTCCTGCTCCTCCACAGCCTGGAACTAGCATTCCAGTCTAGCCTAGCCTCCTCACATAAACTAGTACTTGCTTGGGCCCTTGACCTTCAGGCTTCAACATTCCTGCCTCATTGCTGCCTGTCCCAATTCTGTTAACCCTCCTTCAGAAAGTCTTCCCCCCTTTACCAGTTCCTGTCTCAGGAGGCAGGCACCAGGGTGACAGATGTCCTCTAGCTGAGCCCCTCCCAGCCCAGTATAGGCTCCTCTTCTGGGAAAAGGGATGGTCCAGTAGTGTCCAATGCCAGTCTCTTGCCTACCCTCTTCTCAAGTGAAACAGGGACTTACTTTGGGAATTGAGTCTTACTTTGCAGCGTTGGGTGATGAGACTGGCTCAGGAAACTGATGAAGTCGCCTGACCTGGGGAGACTCAGAGGTACTGGAGGCCAACCGTGGACTTGCTGCAGTGGAGGGAAGATCACAGGGGGCTTGACCCTGACCATCTCACCCAGCCCTGCAGGGCCCCAGCCCCACTGTCCTATTCTTCAAGGTCTTACTGAACTCTAACCAGCCAGGTAAAGGTCCTTCAGCATCTTCCCTGCTTCCTAACACCAAACCGCAGTGCCCAGAAATGAATCCCAGGCAAGCCCCTCCTTCAAGACCAGGGCCTGAACACAACTGTTAGCACTCACCCTGCACTGGGCCCCTTACCTATCTCACTGGAAGAATCCTTGTCCCCTGAAGATCCTTCTGGCTCCTCAGCCTCAGCAGCCCCAGGGAATCTGTCTGTTTCTGTCACCTCCGAGTGCCCCTCAGACTCTTCAGCCCCAGATCTCTGAGCTCCTGTTACCTCCATTGCTTCACTCACACTCACATCTTCTTCTTCTGTCCTTTCCTCTGCTTGCTCATTAACTCTATCCCCTAAGGGTTCTACCTCTTCTTCTTCAGAGATATCACCACTACTAGTGCTTTGGAAGCCCACAGCAAGAGTCTGGGCTTCCTCTGACCTTCCTGCCAGAAGCTGGGTTGGTTTTCCAGGACCTGAATGAAGGGAACAGATACAGGCTGAAGAAGCAGTAGGCCAAGGTTGTAGCTCTGAGAAGGGTAAAGATGGAAATAGCAAAACCAGTAGAAAACATTTGTTCAATTCACACCAAAAAGTTAAACAACAGAACACCCAGTGCAGCCCACCTAGAAGAGAGGCCAGTGGCAGACCCAGAACACTGGAGTGGAGTCTCCTGACCCAACCCAGGCTGCTTTTGACTAGACGAGGGACCCATAGCTGGAAGGCTCTGGAGGCACACATAAGGGCCTGAGAAGGGAAAACCAACTCTGCCAACTCTGGCCCAGGCTAAGCTTGGTTCGAAGCTACCTGACCCATAATACTCACGGTTGTTCTGTAGCCCAGGCCCACTCCATGTCCTGCGACTGGCAGCCCTCTCAGTATCTGCTGCCTCAGGGTAAGAGGGACAGGGCATGGAGTGGCGTCCACTGCGGAAGTGGCCAACCAAGGGTGGGGAGAAGGGCTGGGTTTCTTCCAGCACAGCGTCCTTTGGCACAGTAGTAACATGGGTTCTGTGGCTGTCACCTGGGGATCAAGAACCAGCTGGCAATCAGTGTATTCCAGGCCTACCTACTACTACCCAGTCACCAGAGCCTGGGCAGCTGGCACCATGAGTCTGCTCCCAGCAAATAGGAAGAAGATACCTAGTACATAGGCCTGGCCTACCCTGAGCCTCATCTGACTTCCCCTATCCATCTTCTTCGTCCCTGCACATTAGCCTGGCACTCCCTGTTCTCCCCTCTGTGCCTCACACAAACTGCTGACCCAGGCCTCCACTCCTCTTTGCTTCCTCTGCCTAGAACTGTCCTCTTACTATGGTGATCACTGACTTGTCTTCTAGAATTGGCCTCAGGCCAGTTCTCACTGCACAGCTAATCCTGAAACCTGGCCCCTTTCAACCTCTCAGCCCAGAAGCTCCAGAATATGGGGATCCTGAGACACACTAAAGGACTAAGACTGGGTCCCAACAAGGCAAGGGGACCCAGTGTGAAGAAAACATTAGTTCCTCAAAGATCTACTGGGCCAGACACTCACAGTCCTTGAGCCACAAGAGGAAAGGAGACCATGGATTTAGCACATCTCTTATCTGTCTTTGTGGGAGAGCTTTCCCCACAGGTCTGGGAATGGGGGTGGCATTCATCCTCACCTGGGGAGACCAAGGCCATGGAAGTATCTCGCAAATCCCGCAAGAAGGCTCCCACATCTACAGCTCGGCGGATGGGAGGTTTTCGGGCCAGACCTGGCCTAGGCACTGACTGTGACTGGCAAGGTGTGGTAAATGTCAGGTTGAGGGAGCTGCTAGAGGGGAGGGAAGCATAAAGACAGGTACTTGAGGCCCAGTTTCCCCAGGGGATCCTCCATCTGCCCTGAGATTCTTGTCTCTTAGACCAGTCACCATGCAGGTGGCTAAAACTGTCAATGGGGATTATGGCCAGTTCCACCATAGTAAGCTCTCTCCCCAATCCTCTCCACCAATCCCCTGAACAAGGCAACTGCACCTGGTGTGGGGGGAAGCATCGATATTCCCATGAGGCTCTGTCAGTACCCGGCAAGAGAATGAGAAACAAGAATCTATGGTTAGTTACCCAGACCCATGAGAACACCTCCTTAAGCCCCAACAGTCTCTCCAAGGAGCAAGAGGGGCAAGGAGCAGTAACAGGTGGTATTCAGGGCCTTACCTTGGAAGATAGGCAGCCCCTGGTCCACTTCCTGCTGAAACACGGACAGTCTTAGCCTCTTCTTCCTCCGGCCGGGGGCCAACAGACCTGGAGCCAGGGTTGTTGGGGGCTCAGGCTCAGGAAGTTGCAGCTCCCAGCTACAAAGATGAGGTTGATATGAGACAGGCCAGGAAGCCCAATTCTGGCTTTTAGGAACCCTTCCCCAGAACAATCCCCACCCCCCACCCCCCGTCTCCCCGGGCAGAGCTGCCCAATGAGGGAGTTCACTGTGCACCTGCCCTGACTGCTCTCCCGTCTGGAGGGCTGGACCACTTGTTGTGATGGTACTGGTATCACCACTGACTCTGGCATCACAATGGACGATTCTGGGGCTAGAGAAACAGCAAGGAAAGGATGGGGTTGTCAGGGCAGGCTGTCCTGGATACGGGAGAGCACAGGGCTGGCCCTAGCTCTGACCAACAGGCCAGCACACCTGTCAATAGGATGTTCTTCAGCAAGGTCCGGGGTGTCTGCTTCTCCAGGCGCCCACTGGCTTGAACATGGGACCTTCTGTCAACAGTCTATGGATGAAAGCACCAAGCAACCAGTTTGTTCTTTCACCTTGAGATCTCCTCAAGGTGACGCCCTAAAGGACACCCTGAAGGCAGCCAAGGCCTTGCAGTGGTCAGTGAGTTGGACACTTACTCTGGCCCCATGGGAGTGTCGCCTGCCTGTCGACTTTGTTTGGCTGCTCAAAGTCCCGGAGGATGGCTTTTCAAGCAGGGCTCTCTGGGTGCTGCGTAAGAACCAGTGACTCTGAGAAATGTGCAGGGAAGGGGAGCTAGAGGAGGTGGAGACATGCCTTCATCAGGAGCCTGTTTCCTTAGGGCCCAAACCCAAACCAGCTGCTATGGCATCATAGATAGGTGTCACAAAGTAGAACTGAGCTCCTTAGGGTTTTTAAGGCTGTGACCTTTGAGAACAGATTGGCAGTCATTTCTTCCAAGGCGCAACTGGCTTCATACCACCAACCTTTTGGTTAGTCGTTATGTGACGTCAAGTCCATTCTCACTCATAGCAACTCTGTGTAGAGTTTCCAAAGTATGGCTGGTGAGTTTGAACCACTGCCCTTGTTGCTCAAACTGACCTTGCGGTCCAGTGTTTATCCTACAGCTCCACACTTAAGTTTGCTCACTCAGGACTCCTCCCTCAGGACCAGGGCCCAGAAATCATTTGGCTCTTCCATAGCCCATTCCTAGCCCTAAGCCAATAGAGGTGTGGATGAAAGGGAGCCTGAGGCATATGGAAAGAAACAGAGAATCTGATTGATGGACATAGTCACTGTCAGAAAGAAAGGCCAAAGAAAAGAAGGCTTCAACTGACTGCAGAATCCTAGAGGAAAAGTGGGTATCAGTCACACTGACACGAGGCACAATTGGGAGAGTATTTATTCCAGACATTAAAACAACTATCTAAGAAGGATATGTAAGTATTTCTAAACCTTTTCTGTATTTTTCATGGTCTGACAATCTGCAACTCCTAGGTCCTTCCAATCAAGCTCCTTTCAGGTTCCAGAGCCACATAAATGTTCCCAGGGCACAGCTCCTACCTTACCACTTAGTCTAAAATCTGCAACAAACAGCTTTTCATTGCGTATTAAAAATGGAACTGACCCGATCAGGCAGACCCATATGCTCTGCATCATGAGCTCACTAGGGCCCTCACTCACCCACCCATCCACACTCCAACCAAGCTAGACCAGATGCCCTGCTGCCTAGAAAAGTATCAGTCCAGTTTCCGTCTCCAGGCTGTGCCCTCCAGCTCCTTTCCCATATTCCATCTGGGAACTACAGAAACAGTAGGACTGATAGTGTCAGGAAAGGTGGTGACGCCTTGGAAGGCAGAAGCTCAGGGAAGCTAAGCACACTTGAGCTGATTTCGGGGACATGAGCGAGATAACAGGGCAGAGGATCAGATCCTGAACGTCTATCTGTTGCCTCCAGAGGCTGGCCCCTAAGACACGGCCTTAGAGTGGTCCCAAGGCCTGGGTGCTAACCTGCGTCTGGCTAAAGGAGGGGAGCCAGTTCGCAGAGCCTTGGGCTCCGCCCCTCTCCTAGGTTTGTTTTTTCTCTCCAAAGTTAACAGAGGATCCCACCCACAAGTCCCAGGCCAGCGACCGCACCTACCCAGCCCCGGTACTGCGAGGCCGCCGCGGGGTGTGCGGGGCTGCTGAGTCTATCACACGCCGCAGTAGCGTGCGCGTCGTAGGATCGTTGTCTGGGCTATCGGTGTCTGCCATCGCTTCAGCCTTCCTTCAGCTGTCAGCGACAAATCTCACTCTACCGTCCGCCTTCCAGTTCACCGCGTTAGGGCCCTAGCCGCCCGCAACAACACATTCCCGCCAGTCACATTTAAGCCAACTCTCGCGATGCTGCCGCACAGCCTCACGGGAATTGTGGTTCTCGCAGTACAGCCAGACCCCGACGCAGCGAACTCTATGGTGCTCCAGAACTTCGGCTTTGGGTGCGGTTAAAGCGCTCTGGAGGTGCAGTGGTTACGAATCGGCTGCGAACTTCAGGGTCAGCAGTTCGAAACTACCAGCTGTTCCACGGGAGAGCTGCGCCTTTCTGCTCCCGTAAAGATTTACAGCCTCGGAAATCCTGTGCAGGATCGCTATGAGTCGGAACCGACTCCACCATAAATAGAATAAGGCGCTCTGGTAGCGCAGTGGTTACAGAAACAGGCTACTAATCTCACGGTCAGCAATTCAAAACTACCACCAGCTGTTCTGTGGGAGAAAGATGAGGCTTTCTGCTCCAGTAAAGATTTACCTATGCAGGGTCGCTAGGAACTGACTCCACGGCACATGACAATAACAACGTTAATAGAATGGAGTCCTGGTGTGGCACTGTGGGTAAATGCACCAGACTGCTAAGCCCTTTGAACTGCAAGGTTGGCGGTTCAAGCTCACTAGCTGCTCCTTGGAAACCCAATACAGGGTCGCTATGGACCGGACTCGACTGCACTTAACAACAACTTTAATAGAATGGATCCTGGTGTGGCGCTGCAGATAATGCACTGGACCACAAAGTCAGTTTGAACCACAAGGTCAACGATTCAAACCCACCAGCTAGCTACTCCTTGGAAACCTTATACAGGATCGATATGAGTGGGAACTGACTGGATGGCACTTAATAACATTAATAGAATGCTTCTCATTCCCAACTCTTTCCTGGAAAATGAGAAGGACCAGGAAAAATATTTTTTTTTTCTTTATGTGACACAGATTTGCATTTGCAAAGACCACCCTGTCTGTAGGATTTGTATCCATGGAACAAGACCTGGCTGACTGCAGGCTCCGGAGCTGTTTGTGTGATCCAGCACAGATATGATTTCAAAATGTACAGTTTTGAGATAAATTCGAGTTCTCAAAAGTTCTATTAATGCTGGTATCTGTATTTCCATATTTTTTCATCAGTTGGCAGTCCCTCACTTTGTCAACTGAAATCCAACTTGGGGCCTCCTATGGATTTTTTTCCAGCATCTGTTCTTAGGTCAAGTATGAAGTATCAGATAATGGAATGAAACATGGACATATTTTAATTTTTTCTTAAATAAGGCAAAGCAAAAACAAAACAAAACAAAGGATTGCCCCTCAAAATAAAAGAATGCAGAGTAAATGCATGTCAATATCCCTTGTCATTTCACTCTGACCTCTGTTATGTGACTTAATTTGCCAGACCTTTGCAGGCACATCTCCATGATCACCATCAAACACCTAAGTGCGGTTTTTACTTACTTATTAATAAAGACATGAACAGAAGATACAAATATCTTTTCAAAACGGTTTGGGATGTGAGTTCAAGTCTTTGTATGCTCACATAATTAAACTTTATACTTATTACTTGCTTTTTAAAAAACGAGCTAACAACAACAACAACAACAAAAACTGAAGCGAAGTGAGGGAGAAGTGAGAAAGACTGGCAATGGCAGGCTAGGGGGTCTTGCAGATTCCGGAAGAGTTTAGACAGATAATTCCTTTCTGGTTTCCCACAGCAGCTCTGGCCCTTTAAAACATTTTGCCCTATAAAAGTCGAGGGGGGAAGGGGTGGTGTCTTGTTACAATACAAATGTTGTCTACACTTGTGCTTAAATTCCTTCAATAGCCCTCAGTCACTAGCAGAATAAAATCCCAAAGTCTTTCATTTGGCCCATTTTGATCCATTTCCATTCTTCTGCTACCTAAATCTCCCTCTTCCAGGCTTTAAGGATGGAGTTAAACTCTTTCCTGACTTAATGTTTTATAGGCTGGTCCCCCGGGGCTGGAACAGACTAACTTCTATCTCTCCACCCAAAATTATCTGATCCACTAAACTAGGCCTCCGCCACCAACTTCTCCTCTGTTGCTCATTGCTTTGGGGCGTTTATTACTGTTATTAGAAATCTATTCGGGTGCATTCACATCCATTATCTGAAAGGTGGCCCACAATCCCTATAGGTAGTCAGTGAAGAAACGAGCCTGGTAGGTCTGGCGCTCCTCAAATTTTCCAAATGCTTGCATAGTGCCCAGTACACAGTCGGCGCCTATTTGGTGACTTTAAGTCAGTAGAGGCAGCTGCTGGAGAGGGGAAGTCCCAAGGCAAGAAAAGGGGTTCCTGTGGGCTTTGGGGGGTGGGGTGACGCCGAGGCCTGAGTCCTGCCCTCAGGAATGCAGTTTACCAGGAGCTCAGCGGGATTAGGGGACTGCCCCTGGCTGTGGGAGCAGCAACCAGACCTCTCCATTAGGCAGCGCTCCAGATCACTGCCGCCTAACTCAGTGCTAAAATATCATGGGACTTGTAGTTTCCAAAGGCAGATGCCTTCGGCGCTTGCGCAGGGATGATGAGGCTCCTCCCTTAGCCCCACGCCCAAATCAGGATTCCAAGTCTTTATGAAGGTATTCCAGACAATAGCGTTCCAATTGAACATGCCTCTCTTGTCCGCAGGGGATTAGCTGGGTGAAGGAAAGAATTTGCTCAGAGGAAGCTGTCACGATACCTTGGAAAAGAGCCGGAATAAGCGTGCCCCCCCTCCGGAAGTGAGCTGCTTCTGGCGCGGTGCATTGTGGGGGGCGTAGTCCTCCTTCCCAGGCGGTCCTTCGCGGCGTCCCCGGGGCCGACTCCGAAGCGCAGGCGGGCGGCCAGGCAAGCTGCTCGGCGCGGAACGGCGGAAATCGTATTCTGGGCGCGGGGCTCCGGGCTGGACCGGCTGCACCGGGTAGCAGTAGTGGGAGACCACTTGAGGCCTCGCGCGGCGCCGCCCGTCGAGGGGCGGGCGGCGGCGGACCGGCTGGGCCGTCGAAGGGCGCGGGAGGCCGGTGGGCCAGATCAGGCCGCGCGGCGCAGCCATGCCTGGCTTTACCTGCTGCGTGCCGGGCTGCTACAACAACTCGCACCGGGACAAGGCGCTGCACTTCTACACGTTCCCCAAGGACGCTGAACTGCGGCGCCTGTGGCTCAAGAACGTTTCTCGCGCCGGCGTCAGTGGGTGCTTCTCCACCTTCCAACCCACCACCGGCCACCGTCTTTGCAGCGTCCACTTCCAAGGCGGCCGCAAGACCTACACGGTGCGCGTGCCCACCATCTTCCCGCTGCGTGGCGTCAATGAGCGCAAAGTAGCGCGCAGACCCGCGGGAGCTGCGGCTGCCCGCCGCAGGCAGCAGCAACAGCAACAACAACAGCAGCAGCAGCAGCAGCCGTCGCCGTCGGCCTCCACTGCCCAGACTGCCCAGCTGCAACCGAATCTCGTGTCTGCTTCGGCGGCCGTGCTCCTCACCCTTCAGGCTGCGGTAGACAGTAGCCAGGCACCGGGATCTGTAACCGCGGCACCCACCACTCCCACCGGAGAAGACGTGAAGCCTATCGACCTGACGGTGCAAGTGGAGTTTGCAGCTGCAGAGGGCGCCGCTGCCGCAGCAGCCGCTTCTGAGCTGGAGGCTGCTACCGCCGGGTTGGAGGCTGCGGAATGCCCTATGGGTCCGCAGTTGGTGGTGGTAGGTGAAGAGGGTTTCCCTGATACTGGTTCCGACCATTCATACTCATTATCATCAGGCACCACGGAAGAAGAGCTTCTGCGCAAGCTGAACGAGCAACGGGACATCCTGGCGCTAATGGAGGTAAAGATGAAGGAGATGAAGGGCAGCATCCGCCACCTGCGTCTCACTGAGGCCAAGCTTCGTGAAGAACTCCGTGAGAAGGATAGGCTCCTGGCCATGGCTGTCATCCGCAAGAAGCATGGAATGTGAACTGGTGTGCCCCTGTGGCCTATGGGACTCCTGGATCTTTGCCAACCCAGGGGGTTCCTCAGGCTGCTGTTGAACTCCCCCTTTACTCTTGAGGCTTAGGGCAGCTGGACTCTTACTGGTGACCTGGCACCCTTGCTTGTTTCCTCCTGTAGTCCGGGTCTGGGACCTCAGACTCTGCACTGGAGACACCAGTGATTCTGACTTGGTTTTCCCCCCAGTTTACACACTGAGGATTGTGGTTAAGCAGAGGCTTCAGAACTGCTGAACTTGAAACTTACCCCTAAAGATGCAGGTAGAATGCCCAGGGACTGGGCTTGGAAGGACAATATCTTGAGGTTGGCCCTCAATCAGAGACAACTCTTATGTGTGTAGTGATAAGAGATCCAAGTAACATCAGTTCTCCTTTTCATGCTTTTCATTTCCAGATGTGACCTGTGGTTCTGATGGGGACTGACAGATCTGTGCCTCTCTGCCTCCTAGAGCCTCCTTTCCCAGGAGGTGGTATCTGAGGGGATCTGGGTGACTTGCTTGCCAGATCTGGGAGATCCAGCTTGCCAGGGACTTAGGTTTATCCTGTTATGTTTGCTACTGGTTACAAATTCTATTTTCTGTACAATTAGACTAAAGTTTTCACTGTGTTTGTTTGGCAAAGCAAATTAAACAGAAAGTAAGGTTTTTATTTGGGTTTGTGGCTTTATTTTTATAAGGACTCTTGTCTCTGAATCTTAGGGAAATAGATCTGAAGGATCAGGCTGATGCTAAACGCTGGGATGCTTCAGTGACTAGGCGTTTTCATAAAGGCACTAATGCATATAGATCCTGGCCCTCAAAGCATGGAATGTGAACTGGTGCCCCTGTGGCCTAGGACCTTTGCCAACCCATGGGGTCCTCAGGCTGCTGTTGAACTCCCCCATTACTCTTGAGGCTTAGGGCAGCTGGACTCTTACTGGTGACCTGGCATCCTTGTTTCCTCCTGTAGTCTAGGTTTGGGGCCTCAGACTCTGCACTGGTGACACCAGGGATTATGACTTGGTCTTCCCCCCAGTTTACACACTGAAGATTGTGGGGAAACTAATCCTGGAAACTATACCTAATGGTCCTAGTTTGTGCATGAGTTATCTGTGTCCTTTCAATAATGAAAACTAAGCTGAATTGTGACAACTTTCTTAAGGGTTTTGAATTACCAAACCTAGCACCATTTGCCACATGTGGGCATGCAGTTACTTTATAATTCAATGGAGACCACAGCTGGAGCCAGCCATAGCTTCTAGATGCACAAGAAATCCTGTCCTGATTATCTTTTGGCCCTGTTGCACCTTCATTGTGGAAGAGCAGGAGCCATAGAGGGTATTAAGGAGAAGTTGGGATTTGTGCCCCTTTAACTAGTTTTCTTGGTTACTGCCTTCTTCCTTTAGAATAGATATTGGGGGCAGAGTGACTTATGTACAGCTCCAAATAATTGAACTCAAAGCCGATGGGCAGAGGCCTGTACTACAGGTGTTAAGCCACAAGTGGACACTTTGGGCTTTGTAAAACATGACTGTTCTGTAGTACTTATGGACAAAGCCACTTGCCTGGAGATTTGCTGTATCACTCCTATAATCTGTCCCCTTCCTGGCCACTTAGAACTGAGTGGGGAAACAAGTCTGATGGGGATGGAGGTAGAGCTAGGTTGGTAAGAGGGCTGAATCTCTAGGGTTAACTGCCTGGTCCCCAGGTAGTGGGAGCACTGCCGTGGCTTTCCAGGTCAGCTGGGAAGTCCTTTATGAGCAGTTACTAGACCAGTCTCACATGTCCCAAAGGATTGTCTCCTTTAGCTTCTGTTTGTTGAAGGGACTGCTGAGGTTTTCTTAAAACCTCAGCAGTGCTCTGACCACAGAGTTGCCAGGACCCTCTTTGATGTCTGGATATTACATGTATACAACCTGCCCAGTTTTTTTAATTTCCTGGAAGAGGATAACAGTTTATAGGGCAAGGAAATTGCATACCACAGCAGGGTAAGCAAAGTTCTGGGCTGGATAAACCTCCAGTTAGGCAAAACCAGGACATGCCTGGGATTATTAAATGGAACTTGGGCCTGGTCTTATGGGTCATGCAGGAGTGGTGAGAAGGTGCAAAGCCCTTCTGAAAGAACCAAAGTACTGTACTGAGGTATCTAGCCTGGTGGGAAGGCATGGAACTACCTGGAGAATCCTTATTTTCCTTACCTGAGATTCCCTGGATTAGCCCAGGCCTAGAAGACAGGCCTAATTCCATGGGCCTGTGTTGCTAAGGAAACGATAAACTGAATTTCCTTGAAGGAGAGGGCAAAGGGTGGGAGGGGCATTATTTACTATTTGGTCACTCAAGACACTGGAAAACTTTCGGTGAGTCAGTGATTTACCTTTCCTCATTAATAAAAATTAAATTTAGCTGCTCTGCCTGCTCAAAAAAAATTTAGGATTGTATTTTGGAGACCTTTAGGAGCTCTATTAGCGTAATGATTACGAATCAGGCAGCTAACCTCAACGTCAGCAGTTAGAAACTGCCATTCTGCGGGGAAAAGATGAGGCTTTCTGCTCCTTGTAGATGTACAGTCTCAGAAACCTTACGCGGTGTCACTATAGTTTGAACCGACACTTCGGCACACCATCAGTTTACAACTGAGAGTCCTGATGTAGAGCTGTAGGATTAATCACTGGAATGCTAACCCTAAGGTCGGCCGTTCGAATCCACCAGCCGCTCCACGGAAACCCTATACAGGGTCGCTATGAGTCAGAACCGGCACTGAACAGCAAGTCTACCTCTACAAGTGTGACAAATGGGGCGCTGCACACAACAGCTGAATTTTCTTTCTAACCAACCCCCATCAGAGAGGCATTTGAATGTTCGGCCCGGAGAGCCTTGCCTGCCAAAAATCGGCTTTGAGTCCGACCGGCCCCGGGGCTGTGCTAGCGAACACTGGGACAGCAGAAGCTGTGGGTTCCGCCCCATTCTAGGGGCGGCCGGAACCCCAACGAGGAGGGGGTTTCGCGAACGGAAACAGCCCTGGGGCCCAGGGAGGGGCAGCTGGGCCAGTTTGGGATCAGGCCGGCCTCCCACGGAGGCGGAGCCAACCTCCATCGGCGGTTCAGTCTGGATGGAAGCTGGGCCGGCTGGGACCGAACAACAACTGGGCCCTGACCGGAGTCAGGCGCCAACCTCCGGTGTTCCAGAGGCTTCCGCTAGACCACAATTCACAGGGGCTCGTCCGGGCGGCCTCCCTCCCTGGGTTAGCCTCAACTCCCGCGCAGCAGGCCGTCTGTGGGCCTCGGCGCGTAGCACGCCGGGAGTTGTAGTTTTCACCTCGCGCACCTATACCAGAAAGGAACGCGGTGGGACTGCGTTTCCCAGAGTGCAGCGGAGAGGGCGAGGGAAGGCAAGGGGGAAGGGACAGTCGGTCGCAGACCGCGCTGGGTTGCCGCCGCCGCTGCCGCCATCGTGCCAGCCCCTCGGGTGAGTGTCGGGGCCAGAGCGCCGGGGCGGAGGCTGGGCCGCAGGAGCCGAGCTTTGGGCCGTCCGGAGCCTCCGCTGCGAGTCCCCGGGCGGCCCCTCCCCTCCCCCCCTCCCGGCGGCCCCAAACCGCGCGGGGCCGGGGCCATGTGTCGCGCGCGGCTCCGCCTCCCGCTGGTCCTCTGAGGCGGCGGTCGGGGTAACGCAGGGAGAATCCGCCAGGCGCCTATCCGAGCAGTCGCGTGCCTACTGCGCGAGTGCATTGCCCTGGCCAGGCCTTTTTCTTCGGTCCGGACTACCAGGATGGGGCTCTCCGGGCCCCGCCCTGTTTAACCTGGCCCGGCTTGCCCAAGTCTCGCAAGCTCTGCAGGCAGGCTAGCTGGCCGACCCGGGCCCTGCTTCTTGCCACTCGCCTGCGATGGATTCGGGGATGGGCTCCGCTACCCGGCTCGCTCAGGAGTCAGCATGGGTAAGGGCGTTAGCCTGCGCTGTACGGGCTTGGGACCCTCACCCGGTAAGGTGTAGTAGGTAAACGCTCCCCTGCCTGTTTGCCCTCGGGGAGTGCACAAAACTCTATGGCCTCTCCATGGGGCCCATGCCGTAGGTCCTCTTGCTTAGAGTGCAGCCAGGAAATACGGGACCGAAGGGAGTCCCGCGTGAAACTTCAGCAGTAGGCAGCCATGGAAGATCTGGTCCAATGCTGTGAGGGGTAAGGCAGCACGGGCCTGATAGGTCCAGCCTCCGCCCTTTTCTATCAGTTACCAGGCCCCAGCTGTGGGTGGGTTGACGTGCCATTTTAGTGGAAGGAGGGAGGAAAGAAGCCAAGAAGGTGAGATTGGATGTGTGAGCCTCCTAGGTCTATTAGATGCTTCAGGCACATCTGCTTCTTCCAGAGTCATCATGGAACTGCTCCACAGGGCCATGACGGCCCCCAAAAGTGTTGTGATAAGGTGGGACATAATGGAGAAACCAGGTCTGAGAGTCCAGTGTAAAATAAGGGGAACCTTGTACTGTAGGGCTCAGATTCAGAATCTGTGGGGCCCTTCTGGAGCTTGGACTAGGATTAGAAGCTGCAGTCTGGTCCTCTTGTTTGCTCATTTCCCAACAGCTGGAGCTGCCTATGAACAGGCAGGAAGTTGGTTGGACTCTGGGAAATTGTCCTTGAAGATAGTTCCACGGGCCTCATTGAATTTTGGGAGAAGGGGTGTATTTGACATGAGAGTGTTTTCCTGGCAGGCTCTGTAAAGGCACTTCTTACTGGGTGATGATAAATTCAGAGACCAGTCTAAGTAGGATTTAGGGAAGATGTAGCTTGTCAAGACTTGAATGCTCTGACCCTGACCCACTGTGGTTTCAAAGCCACAGCAGCATTCAGGCTACCAGATCCCTTAGGAGAACTGAGTTGCACCCAGGAAACAGAAGGCTGCTGCTTCTGGCTTGCTTTTTTCCCTCTCTTTTGGTTTTTTTCACTCTCTTGCTCTTTAGCATTTCTAGATAATATTTTTTTCCCAGTCTTTGGACTTTGAAGTTTTCTTGCAGTTGAATTGCTATCCCTCATCAAGGAGAGCAGGCAAGGATGCTGCCCAGAGCTCCTCATCAGGGCCTGTCTTTTCCTGCACTCTGTTTTCTGATTTCATAACCTGGTCCATGAAGACATGGAAATTAGGTTCATCCAGCAGGCTTAGGAGAAGCCCGTTTTGGCAGTTGGGTGGGCAACAATGCACATAGAGGTTCAAGAAAGTGGTTTTAGTGCTAGAAGTAGTTGTTTCAAGGTTCTCTTTAGATGGTCTAGATTTGTTCTTTTTTAGGACACAGGTTTCAAGTGAGCTAGATTTATAGCTCTGAATTAGTTTGCATATTCCAAGGCCTTGGACGACTTGAAAAAATGGTATGCTTTATTCAGGGTCAAAAATATCTTATTCATTCTCCAAGGTTGCCTAGGAATAGGCGAAATTCAGGCCCCGCCCTCTCATTCCAATCCTGTAGAAGTAGCTTTTGTGTCTGGGGTAAGCTTTCTATTGATAGGCATTCTGACTGCCAGAAGTTCTTGATCCTCTGGATCTCAGAGATAAGAGGAGAACTTAAGGTTCTCCAGGATCTGTCGATATTCTGTATTCATGCAAGGCTGACTTGGCAATGGGCCTTGGGATGTGGCTGCACAGGTATGAGGGCAAGGTTTCAAGATGCCTGGGTTCTCAGTTGGCTCAAAACTCGGACTTTTGATGAATTCAAGCCCACATTTCCTTTGCAAGCCACATCTCTGCTGTTGGTGGACTGGGTTGGGATAAATTACTTAAGAGAAACACAGAATTCTTAAGTTTTTTAATTGGAAAATTAAAAATATTAAATTCTCTAGTTCCATTAGTGAGGTGTTGAAACTCTAGTTTCTTTCTTTCTCACCAATGATCTACTTTACTCAGCAAACATTCTTTGGGCTGTCTCTGTGTGTGTTGGGCTCTGGACTGAAGCTGAAGGTAAAACAATGAATTCTGCCCTTTCCTGGTACTGGGGAAAAGAGATCTGCAGATGAGGGGGCTTCACTTTTCCATGAACTTTTAGATGTTAGTATTATGTGATGAGGACTCAGTTGAAAGAACCTATAGGAGTGCAGTGACTCCATAAGCATTGGGCTTCGAACCACAAAGTCCATGGTTCGAGCCCACCAGCTTGTTCCATGGGAGAAAGTTGAGGCTTTCTGCTTCCGCTAAGAAACGCTATATAGGGTTGCTATGAGTCAGAACTGATTTATAGGCATATAACAACATAGGAATTCTTAGCTTTGCCAAGAAAAGGAGACTTAAATGATTGGAGTACCAAAGAGGAAAGACTGTTAGTTGGTCTCCTTTCCTTTCCATTGCTTGGAATCCTCAGAGTGATGTACCTCCAGTGTAGGCCCAGGAGGGTCTGGGGTCCTTTGAGCAAGGTTATCACCACTCCAAGTTGCTGTGATCGGGTAGTCAAGCAACTGACTTCCCCAAGGGTCTCTGCTGGATGTTCTCACAGTGCTGGGAATCTCACCATGTTTCTTTTTGTCCTCCCAGTGCCCTGACCGGAGCCTGTGTTTGTGACTTTTGCTCCTTTCGTTGAGGTTCTCTCATAGTCACTTTTATTCTGGTACTGAGTAGTTAGTGGCTCCAAGAGTGGTACCCACCAGGACATCTTTCCAGGATGAGAGACCGAGGAATGTGCTCCAGAAATGGAAGGTCCAGCAGACCTGGCCAAGGGGGCTCCTTGGGTGTTCCTTCTATAGGTGACCCTGACCTGGGGGTTAGATAGGGACTGGAGCCAGCAGAGTCTTCAGTAATGTGTATGCTGTTTGTTTTAGAGTCCTGTTCAGTCCGTCCTCGCTAGCGCCTCCAAAACAGGCAAAGTGGGCCTGGAGATGGTGTCAATTTTGGAGGGAGTCAGTTTCAACAGTTTTCTACAGCATGTACTTTAAAAGATGGGTAAGATTTCTGTAGGCTGGTATTGATTGAGGTGAACCTGCAGGTAGTTCTTTTGAGGGTGATGTTTGTGTGTTCAGGGTTGTATGTGAGTTGGCTACCCCTTTCCCAGCATTGGCATTCTCTGATTCTCTTGGTTTGACCACATGTAGCTGGAGTTCTTGAATCCCTCCTTGAGGGAGACACTGTGTGGATTATCCCTGAAGTGACTTCCAGGCCCATGTGATGTGATCATTCTTGTCATTCTTGCCACCAGGCCTTTGTTTCACCATTTCACTTCTCATCCTGTCAGCTGGAATGAGTCCTGGGCAGAATACAATTAATTGTTCTGGTCTGGCTGTGGCTAGAGATGTCTCCTAGCAGCCTGGAACACAGGAGCTCCATGGGTCAGCATACTCACTGTAGCCACCTTGCTTGGTGGACTGCGCAGCCCTCTGTGCCATCTTGTGCTGCTGCTTGTTATCTCGTTCCAGCTCTCTGTCTCCTGGATCTAGGAGGGACCCCAGGTCCAAAGGTTGTGCTCCTGCTCCACTCCCATTGTCTCTTCTTGGTGATAGTAAGGTTTCCTTCCCTCCCCTCCCCACAATCCTCACCTCTTGCTCTGGGCTTGGCTCTTTTTTAAGTCTAGCAGGTTTGGCAAAACTGACCAATCCAGTCTCCTCCTTAGTGTTCCATATACTTACAGGGATCCCATTGTACTTTATGTACATTCTTAGCAGCCTGTCCAATCTCCTTGGTAGGCCACAGACACTTTATTTGCATAGTCCCACACTGTAGCAATGAGTCTGCTAGAGTAGTGGTTACAAATCAGGCTGCTAACCTCAGGGTCAGCAGTACGAAACTACCAGCTGTTCTGTGGGCGAAAGATGAGGCTTTCTGCTCCCGTAAAGATTTATAGCCTCAGAAACCGTGTACTCTGGGTCACTATGAGTCGGAACCGACTCCACCGCACATAACCACCACCATGGTGTGGCACTGTGGGTTAATGCACCAGACTACAAAGCTATTTGAACTGCAAGGTTGGTGGTTCAAATTCACCAGCTGCTCCTCGGAAACCCTATACAGGGTTGCTATGGGTCGGAACCGACTCGACAGCACATAACAACAACAACCCATCGTTTTATGAGAGTCCTGAAGACTGTGGCTAGAAAGGCCATAGTAAGCACACAACAGTTAACACTTGCAGAGCATATCAGACCTAGGAGAATGCAAGTTCTCAAGTATTCTTGTGACATAAACCTGCTGAGCATGTACTCATGTTTTCCATCTTACTGCCTCTAATAAAAATTCATCCTTGAAGCAGTGGAGACAAATTCACCAATTGCAAGTTAAAGAGAAAAAGAGACATTTTATTAAGAAGGTGACAGCAGCTGGAATTCCCACAGCAATGCAGGCCTTCTTAGTGGAGTCCCACTGGTGATCAGAGTACATGAAGTCTAGATAGGTTTACACTGGATTGCATACTTGGGAAGTCATGGACTTTGCCAGGCGCTTTACATTACTTAAGCCACAAGGTAGTCACAGGATATAAATGTTAACCTAACAATCAGAAAAAGAGAA